TCCCACTATCGGTTGCTGGATGATTTCGAGGATCCACGAAGTGACGGTGAGTGCTCCTTCTTTGGGTTACGTGGTGCTCTGGGGGGTCTCGAACTTCTGTAGGGTTGTGGAGACTTTTGATCCAATATCCGCAAATTGTTTTGATCCACTTTCAGGCTCTGAAGAGGGCGATATCGCCGAAACGTCAGCAAATGAATTTTAATAACAACCTCGTGGGAGTTTCAAGCAAGATCAACATCATTGCTGTTCTTTTTGCCACTGCAGTCATTCTGCAGATTTTCTGCATGCTTAGCTGCAGCAGAATATCACAGTGCAGAAGAAATAGCATAAGCATAATCGAAAAGATGAAATTCGATCCTTTAGCGGCAAAACAGTCAGCTGTACACAAATGCATAAATCGCATAAGAATAGAATTTCATCTTTTTCCAATCACCCCTTTCATGCAATTTTTTGTCTGAAACTCGTCCAACTCTCGGTTTCACAGTTTTGTGGAAGTCTCTTTCGAACTCGGGTCCGGGAACTTTTCCCCTAACACGGCGTCGCAGGCGCCGCACCCACCGCCTATCGCAGGATTGCGATGCAATATTGGAGCGCGCAATTTGTGAAGTAGGGACTCCTTTAATTATTTGAATTGGCTGGCCGCTCTTTTCAATTCCAATGCGGTCTTGATCGTCGTTTATATAGGAGGAATCATTTTGATTAATCAATTCTAATAAACATGAAAACTAAAAAGAAACTGAAGAAAAAACGATAAAATCCAATGAAAAAGCAAGCCAGTCAAGGAAAAATATCGCGTCCTATCGATTGGCGGGAGGCGGGGTGAGTACGGTAATTGCTTTTGACATTTGCCGCATGCCGCAAGGGAGAATGCCACGATAGGGGAGAAGTTCCGTTACCCTTCGAACTCACAGAAGCAATAAGACTCCATCTCTCAAAAGTCTATAACGGATGTCATGTTCATAGCGAGAAAAATGAAGGGTAGCATGAAGTAGAGGAAGTGCAGTGGTATCCTCTACGACAGACGGTGCTACTGAACAAAAAGGAAAGGTGCATCGGACAGTGGTGAGCCACGATGTTCTGTCGCAGCGAGTGCTTGCCTGCGGTTGGAAACAATTGGACAGAGTCAGAAACGAGGACGTTAAGGTGGCCACGCGAACATACCCTGTCAATTGAAGATGAGATTGTGTTGTACAACACGGTTTAGACACGAAGTGAGAAGGCCACAGATTCATGCGATAAGGGAGGCGAAGGAGCTCAAGGCTGTAACGGAAGCAAACACGAGCGCCAAGGAGGACTTGACTACAAAAGATATCGCTGAATCTGGAGTAGCGGCAGAAGATAACCTAGATAGAAGGAAATTGAGGCAACATACAACGACACTGGACCGATGCTAGGGACAAAAAGAAGAAGATGAAGAAGCTTCGCTAACATTTTAGGGCGCAATTATTGTTAAATGAATGACTACAAGTGGGTTCAATTTGTAAATATTCACAAAACAACACCATAACTCATAAGTTTACTAAAAGGATATAGTGAAGATGAAGGTGTACCTGTGATACTGACCAACTGCCCATGATACCATATGTATTTCGACCTGACCGGCATTTTAAGGCGGGATATTACAAGCAGTCTGTAAAGGTGGCTCAGCAATAGATGATCATCGATTTGCATAGCTGGGTATCAGTAAAATAGACAAACATAAAACTCTCCCTCTCGCTTTTCCTTGCTAATAGATTGGAAGATAAATAATGAAAGAAGAATGATTTCAAAAGTTTTCCTCGAAATATGCCATGCGTTCAACTCCATTCAAATTGGTGCTCGCGTCTGAACGACCGAGTGACACTACTTTGTGTAGCAGCGCTCGAAGGTTTACGTCCGAACTATCAAATAAAAATGGTATCGCCTTCAAACTTATCCCAAGTCTCGTTGCCCTCAAGAGTCACGTTCCTGATAGTAGGTATTCCGACTATTGGGAAGAATCATTACAAAACGTTACAACTCTCATTGGAGTGCACGAGTGGCAGTAGGTATCAATTCAAAGATCGAGCACTTTTGGTAAGTTCAATAGTGGAAACGCAAATTGTCAATCAAAATGAAGTAACGATAAAAGAAAGTAAAAGTAACGATAAAAAAGTAACGTGTCGCTATAAGGTGATGCATAGAACCGCCGGTCGGCTGTCGTGGACGGCATGGCAAGGCTTGAAATGGAAAGCGACAGGTAGCGAGCGTCCGTAACGATGGATTTTTTAACTGTTGGGAAGCAAAAGAAAGAAATTAACCACAAAACAAAGCTGTCTACAAAAACTGCATTGGAAGCCATAGCAAAAGCTCAATACACAAGTCAAAGCAACGCCTATTCCATGGCAGTAGGGGAAGAGGACGCGGCCGCAAGGCGGAAGCTGTCGAGGAGTGGTGTGGGGGCTTTCAGTCACAAAGGAATGAGTATTTCACGCGCGGAAAAAATCTGCAACCTGTCATCTAACAGCGTAGAAGTGCCGAAGAGAGCATAGACTCTCCATCCACCTTCCGCTTATCTGGAAAAAAGGATCGACCGCCTGTCGCGACTAGTACCTTGGAAAGCGCTCTGAGCGTGAACAATACATATCACATGGTCTTCTTTGTTAAGTTCATGTACGGCAAGTCGAGGACAGTCATTTAAACTTCTCATGGCATCTCTCATGCCTTTACAAAAGCAATAGCAGTACGATTGAAGTCCACCAAAGACACTCTGAGGCCAATCCCCTCTCCACTCGCACTTGTATGTCATCACAAAAAAAAANAAAAAAAAACTTGCCGGAGTGTCGCTAAATCTCCTACACTTATGACATCATCTCGATAGTGAGAGTAGGAAAGAACAGTAAGATATGTAAGCACTAAAAATGGCGGACCACCCTAGCAGAAAACGCCGTTGGCCAAAAGTGAATAACAGTTTCTCCATTCGCGCGAAGCCGATCACAGATTGCCGTAGAGAAGTTATTGAAAGTGTGCAGTTTTAATACCTGGATAGTGAGTAAACCGCCTACCTTAGATAGGATCGGAATGTAAAGGCTCGAATCAACAGGGGAAGGATGAAAAGAGGGAAATTTAGTGGTACACTCTGAGGTCGACGGTGCATTAGGAGTGTCAAAGGAAGGAATTCGGGGGACAGTGGCAGGGATGCGAGCAGTTGCTAGCCCGTGAGCTAAAATCATGCCAGAACACTACCGTCCGCTGGAAAAAGGATACTTACCAGGGACCAGGGAGGGGTAGTCTACTTATCTTGGAACCTTGAATTCAGACCCAGATAAATCGATAGAGTTTTGAATGCTGTTTACGAAAATGGAAATTAAAACTGCAAAATG